ACAGCGTTAGCACAGGAGCAATTTGAGTTGTTGAGCCCCCTTGCAGATTTGTGATCAGCAGTAAGGAGCTGTAGGAAACTGTGGCAAAAATGGCAGAAAAAAGCGAAAGCTGTTTTGGCAATCTTAACATCTACGTGGGTCAGTGGTTCTTCATTTAGATAAAGATTACTGGCCCCACAAGACTAATTGAAATCCTCGTCTGTGTGGCAAATTGCCTGAAGACGTTTGTCATATTTGAAAGGACATACAATGAATTACCCTTAGATGGCAATTGGAGACAGCTATTCTAATTACGGTGTAAGGGGCAATAAATGAACCACCACATAATACTTCATGGTGAGTGATCATGATTGAAACAGACGATGACAGGGTATATGGTAGTAGTTCTTCGTCAGGTGTAATTATATGATCGTAAGTGGGAGAGGGAAATAATCTAATAGAAACCTAATCTAAAACATTACAAATCAGAATGCCTATGCACAAGCACACCCTATCTTACCCATTTGGGTTTAGTTGAATGATATCGGATTCAAATTCGACAACGAAAACCCAGAGTTCTACATGGTGTGGGGTCTACAAACTATTGCATAGACCGAACATGTATTCAAATGCCACAACGATTCTGAATGGAAGACGAATACATAGGAAAACTTTAACAATGGAGTTGATCAATGACGAAAGAGTTTTTCTCTCTAGAGTTCGTCCTCGCAGTCTTTCTCTTTTGGAGGAATGAGCTAAGGGATCCGAGTGATAGCTGTATCATAGGAAAGAAGAGGCACTACACAAAAATCGTTGTCAGTTTACAATAAAGGATAGAGTTTCTGGCGTTAATCAATCCCGTCTGAGGGATGCGCCCCCGCACTCGACTTCCATTCAGAATCGTAGTGGCGTAGTGAGTGCGTATGTGGGCCTATACAATGATTCCGGTGGCCAGCCGATGTACGAGTCAGTACTTTTATCTTCCCTGAGTCTGGTACCAATTGGCCGACCACAGAGGGATGGAAGGCGCGGTTGGCCAAGGCGCATATCGATCCGGGATCTGAACCCACAACTAAACTGGCAAAATGGTTGACTTGATACAGATATTTTCCAGCAATGTGAGAGAGCACAGAATAACGTCGGATTCTAGGAACAATCTTTAAAATTCTCAAAAGCAGAAGGAAGATATTGGTATTGCGAAAGACAGATGAGTCCTTTCGTTTGATAGCTCCTTTGGTATAGCTGTTTCATCGATCCGCTGTTGGAGCCAAAACCTCCATAATTTAGAGCTAGGCTCCTCCTACCTGTAATAATAGATACCTTACATTTTTCGAGGGTAAATGAAAAGAAGAACAAACAAGGGCTGAGACCGAAAGATTTTGAAAAACGATATTTTCAAGGAGATTCAATTCAGAGTGTAATGGCAGTAAGCAATTAGGTTAGCACTAGTTAAAACCTAGAGTTAATAATTGTAACAACTACATGTAAAATTTATTGCAATCAATTTGTTTTGGTGGTATCGTAATACCCGCTCCGAAAATATTGTTAGTGACTGATTTCCCGACTATGCAGTGGAGTTTTACGTATATCACAACACTTTTCACGAGTTCAGAGCGCATCCTGATAGCGCAGTGACTCATTTCCTTTCATTATATCGCCTCGCAAACAGAATCCGTGGAAGCTGAAAACGGGTGACTGTGTTCACCAACAATAAATAACGTAGAAATGTATAGGACCTTGAGTATGGGAGGTCCAAACAGGTAAGTCTATTCAGGTGCTTGTGAAGAGGCACCACAAATGATTTCCGGTCATAGACAAAGAAAACTGAAGAGGATATTTCGTACGAAGATGGAACTAAACGAGCTTTCTGGCGATGACCGAGTTTTCTTTGAAACTGAGAATGAATTTTATCTTGGTAGTTCTGTCCACGGCTTATTTGGTTAAAGCAATAACTTACATCCGTTGTAGAAGTCAGGCTTACCCTGCCGTCCAAGATCAAAGTCAATCTGACTCGATTTCACCGGATCAATAGAGCTTAGAAGGCTTGGGCAAAGTGTAACCAAAAACTAGAGCGCTCATTTCACCTATGTGCTCGAAAACCCTTCTCATTGTCCTACCCTCTTCCAAGTCTTCATAAAGAGATGTATCAAATTCAATACTACAATGGATGTGATTGCTGATATAGTTTATTATAGTGGCGTATTGTGAGTCTAATGTGAATCAACGGTCTTAAAAGATTCTCTGTACTGCTTTTCGCTGTGAAAAGCTAGAAGACCAAGGAGGACACATGAAACTCACTGCTAAGCACCTGGAGCTCAGTAAATATGAAAATATCAGGAATGAATCAAAGGTAACTCGTACACGGTCTCGAGTATTTCCTCATACCCTTGAATGATCGTGAGAGAACATAGATATGCACGTGACAGTGGTCAGTCAGGTAATTTCACACGGTCCACCACCTTACTCTGACGTTCGAACGAGCCCAGCTATGTTCCATGAGATTCCCATGATGTCATAAATAAACAGTTTATTTCCTCAAGCTCTATGTAAACGCACTACATTTGTCAGGACGCTCTTTTCAAGACAATCTAGGAAACAATTCTAAAAGCAACAATCTCACCATGTCAAAAACCTAACGTTTGCTTTGCCATCCATTTGCTTTTCAACAGCTTTTGTTCTTTTCAATCCTATACCAACCTCTTTCTCCTGGCAAGAATCCTTGCATCCTATTCTCTTTCGAGAAAAATTTGTGTTTCAATAATTTATATATGTATTTACCATTTTGGATTAATGGTCTCCGCTTTCAATGGGATGGTACAAAACTGCAAGATTTGAGGACGAGTTCTTTTCTTCACCTTATTTCCCTTCAGTGCAGAAATAGTCGTATACGAGCTTTGTAACTGACCCTACCTTTCCTAATCCCACACCCTATTCAGAACGTTTCTCTCTCCTAACTTGGTCTCATACAATTGTAACAACAGTAAGTATGTGCCGAAAATTTCGTAATAGTCCAGATTTTTCCAAAAGTTTTTGAAATTCTCATGGGATTTTTCATATCCAGCTAAGCCATTATTTACGAGTTCGAGTATAGTCCCTCCATAACTGAAACCCAACGGAATTTTTGACAATTATTTGGCCCTGTATTCTTCCCCTGGTGGTTCTGTGCACACCTCACTCCAACCCCCTACAGCTTGAAGAAAAACCACGAAGTTGGACATCCTTCCGGCACCATATTGTGATATCAAGAAATCTCCTCACATGTTACTCTCGTACAAGTGAGTAGAGTCCTAGCATAGCATTTCTGCGAAAACTTCCGGAAAATCACTGGAATAATCTAGACTTTTGTGAAATCACTGGCAAATCTTTCCGCACAACATAATGATAGAGGGAACTTGACATAAACGTATTGAACAGCCCCCTTCGACTTTAATAAAGTCAAAAAAAAAAACGTTTCCACAAATAGGCAGCTCCTATTGAAGAACGAGGTAGGACAAACAAGTGTTTTGTAGTGTTTTCAAGCTACCGATAAAGCTGATATTGTCCAAAGCCAGATACAACATTCATTTCCACCCGAATAGCGAAGTTAGAATGTTGTTGTTAGAAGTAAATCCCAATGTTAGAAGAGTGTGGATACGAGAGAAATTAACAATTACTAAACCTGATGCTTGCTTCTCAACTGCTCTCCTCTTCGCTATGTGAATGTCATCTCGAGGATGCTGAGAATAGGGCGAATACTCAAACTTGACTTTACTCAAACTTGCACCTGCAACTAGACATTTTGAAATGTATTTCTTTATATGACCTTGGTTATATGCTTGTCATCACTTATCTGCGCTAGTCTGATAAAAGCGATGACAAGTGAGGATGACAACACGGGAGTATGTGACTTCGGTTGTAGGACCTTCAGTTCACCTTTTCGAAACATCTCATTCCAAGAAACGCTTTCGAAAAGAAGGCTTCAATTTAAGTAACATCTTGAAGGTTCAAAGATGAAGAGTCGGAGATGACATAAGCTAACAGCATGGCATTGATACTGTTTTGGCTTATAGTCTCTCATACCTATCTATTACCACGCTAGCACTTCCTCAGATGGTAATTTATTCTGTTT